AAGACTTCTGATTTCATGGTATTAAATCTTGATCAAAGTTACAAATCTGACTTTAATCTACTTTTATTAGATGGTACACTTTAAAAAATATCTATAAATTGATATAAATATTTATAAATATTTATAATTACAAAAACAAAACTAAACAGAACTTCTAAAATTTATAAATATCAAAAAGAAACTGATTAAAATTTTATAACATTTAAAATATTATATTAAAATTTTAAAATCTTGTTTAACAATAAAATTTGTAGGATAATAGACTTAAATAATATTTGTTGTTAAATATTTATATTACTATTATATTATTAACTATCATATCTGAATAGATTTCGTCAAAGGATAATGTATTAGTTGTTATCATATTCTAAAAAGTTTACCAAAAATAAAAATTTACATTAAATGTAACTGTTATATCATATTTAGTTACAAATCATGTCATCAATTCTATATGTCATGTCATTTTTTTAGTAAAATGAATTATAAAGATGACATGTCTCAAATCACTTTTCAAATAATATGTAGACGATATTTACTAATCGTTATGTTACGTCATGTCCTATAATTCATGACTATAACTTTAAAAGAAACTATAATATTTTGTTAAAAATAAAATAATCACTGTAAATGTATTGTGTACTACCTTGGTTTAAAATATTTATACTCTTACTAAATCACATATGTTCATATATAAATTTTGTTAAAAATAAAATAATCACATATCTTGTTAATATTCTATAATTAGTACAAAATGTTTATTCTAAATTAATGTTAATTTTATAGTTATTTTAATTTATTATTTAAAATCTAAGTATATTGTAAATCCATTAATTTGTGTTATTTATGTGTAGTTACTTAAGAATAACTTTAATTACAAAATAAATTGTTATTTAAAATATTTAATAATAAATTTAAAAAATTATATATATATTAATGAAAGAAATATTGTTATTACGTAAAAATAAATTTGGAAATACTCACACGTTTGAAATATTTAGTAGTAAATTTTATATCATATTTTTAGATATGACAACACATTTTAGTATAATAATATCATCTTTTATTGAGTAAAATAAAATTTAAAACACTCATATATACATAAAATTAAGTATAATATATATATATATATATATATATATATGTTGGGATTTATGTTTCTTTAACTTTTCTAAAACAAATTACGATGTAAAATATTATCTTGTTAAAAAAAAAGATTTTATACAAAGATAATTATAAAAGTAATGAAATTTTTTTTTTGTTATTTCTAATTAATTATATATTAACTGATTTAAATATTTTTAAGGTTAATAAAGACTTTATAACACAATAAAAATATTTTTAGGTAAGGAATAATTATCAAATAACTGAATTTCATTTTAAATTTATAGTTAAGTGTATATTAACAAATTTAATTATTCATTAAAGGTAATATTTATTAATCACTTTAAATTTTAACATGAGAGCTTCGTTGCAAAAAAAATCACTTCGCAAATAATAGTATAAATTATTAGGATAGGAGGTATGATATCTCCGTGGTTTCTTTCTCGTTAGGGACAGTGAAGCGAAAATGATGGAGAAAATTGCAAGAGATGTTTCAAATAAACTAAATGCTACATCGTCTAGGGAACTTGATGACATTGTTGGACTTGAAGCTCATTTATTGGAAATGCTGTCTTTGTTAGATTTAGATTATGATGGGGTTAAGATGGTTGCAATCTCTGGTCCCGCTGGGATTGGTAAGAGTACCATTGCCAGAGCGCTGCATAGTCTACTCTCAAATGGGTTTCAGCTTAGTTGTTTTATGGACAACCTTAGAGAAAGCTACCCCACAGGTCTTGATGAGTGTGGTTTGAAGTTGCGTTTACAGGACCAGCTTCTTTCAAAAATTTTAAACCAAGATGATATTAGGATACGCCATCTAGGTGTGATCGAAGAAAGGCTACGCTATAAGAAAGTGCTTATTATTCTTGATGATGTGAATAATATAAAGCAGTTAGAGGCTTTGGCAAAAGAAACTACATGGTTTGGTCCTGGAAGTAGGGTTGTAGTAACCACAGAAAACAAAGAGCTTTTGCAGCAACATGGTATTGAAAATACGTATAATGTGGGGTTTCCATATGATGAAGGAGCTCTCGAGATTTTATGTCGATATGCTTTTAGACAAAGCTATCCACATATTGGTTTTAAAAAGCTTGCTAAAAGGGTAACAAAGCTTTGTGGTAACCTTCCATTGGGTCTCCGTGTAGTGGGTTCCTCTTTACGTGGGAAGAATGAGGAGGAATGGGGTGAGATAATACGCAGGCTAGAAACTATTCTTGATCATCGAGATATTGAAGAAGTACTAAGAGTTGGCTATGAGAGTTTACATGAGAATGAGCAATCTCTATTTCTCCACATTGCTGTCTTCTCCAACTTTAAAGACGGTCATCTTGTGGAAGCCATGTTCGCTGACGATAACTTGGATATCAAGTACGGGTTGAAGATTCTAGCAAACAAATCACTCATACATGTATTTGACAATGAAAAAATAGTAATGCACAAGTTACTACGACAAGTGGGTAGGCAAGTCATTCAAAGAGAAGAGCGTTGGAAACGTCGGATCTTAATTGATCCTCAAGAGATCTGTGATGTTCTTGAACATGCCGAAGTAAGTTTTTTCTCTTGTATTTGTTATATATTTTTCACTAAGTTTTAGCCTAAAGGATTTATTTACAGGATTCAAAGAAAATACTGTATCTTGCTAACAATATCTTTATATATTTGGAATATTGGTGTAGGGTAAAACCGCTGTGTCCGGCATATCATTTGATATATCTGATATCGACGAACTGTCTATAAACCCTATGGCTTTTAAAAGAATGCGTAATCTTCGATACCTTAGCGTGTACAACAGTAAAAATGATGGGAATAGTATGATTGATATACCAGAGGCCCTGGAGTTTCCACGTCGTCTAAGGTTACTGCATTGGAAGGAATACCCACGCAAGTGTCTTCCTCCTACATTTCATCCTGAATATCTCGTCGAGCTCAATATGAAGGGTAGCCAGCTCGAGCATCTGTGGCATGGAAGTCAGGTTAGTTATTTATTTGTCAAAGGAGACATAATATTTGATATTAGTAAAGTACAAAAAGAAATTGTTTATGATTACACTATATTTTTAATGATAAACTAGATTTTGACCCGCGCTTAAAAGCGCGAAAATTTTTATGATTAAAAATTTATATAATTGAGTTTTGTCATAATTTAAATAATACTTTGATATAAAATCAGTTCACCAAAATTTGTGGTGATGATTGTTTTTCATTAGTTTTTAGTTTCAGTTTTTCTTTTTAGATTTTGGATTTTGGTTTTTAGTTTTTAAGTTTCTACTTTTCATTTTCAGTTTTTGGTTTGAGTTTTTAATTTTTAAACCCGCTGAGTTAGTTTGAACAAATATTACCAACAAACAAATCTCAAATAATCAAACATCTAATTTAAAACTGAAAAGATGAAAAAAAAATTAAAAAAAAAATTGAAATAGTTTATTTTTTAAATAAACAAAGCAAAAAAATATAATATGTGTTTTCAGCTTTTGGTTTTGGATTTTAGTTTTTAGATTTGGTTTTTGGTTTTGCTTTACATTTTTTAATCAGTAAATTATTTAAGAAAAATAAAACAATAAATTATTTAAAAATTACCATTGAAATTTATCAAAACAAAGTGATTGTTATTTAAAATAAAAAAATATATTAACATGTTTTAAAGTACATGATTTAAATAAATGATTAATAATGGATAATTTTGTTTAGTTAAAAATATTAAATACCTTTTGGGTCTGAAAAATAATAATTGATTTTTTGATATTTTAAGGTGAAAATTTGTTCAATGTTTTTGGAATTTTTTCTTAATACTAAGCGCAAAAACCAAACTATATAATTTGTTCAAAAAACAAAAGTAAGCCGAAAACTATATTCCATAAATAACCACTGGTTTAATTTAAGTATAATTAGTAGATTTTCATATTCCATATTTTGATGATATATATTCTTTTAGAACATTCCATATTTGTAGGAGAAAATATGTGTTTTTGGTATACACATAGATATCTGCTATATTTTGAAGGTAGTTTACATTAAGGTCGTCTTTTTACATTAATTTTGTTAGTTTAATTTAAGTAATACGGTTTAATCAATTATATGACTTATATTATTTGTAACATTCTAGAAAGAGTCCAAATTTAAATGACAACTTGTATCAATAGATAAAAATAATGACTATATTTTAATAGAGTAGACTAGATTTTGACCCGCGCCTGAAAGCGCGGAAATTTTTTATGATTAAAAATTTATATAATTGGGTTTTGTTTTAATTTAAAGAATATTTTGATATAAAATCAGTTCACCAAAATTTGTGGTGATGATTGTTTTTCATTAGTTTTTAGTTTCAGTTTTTATTTTTAGATTTTGGTTTTTGGTTTTTAGTTTTTAAGTTTCTACTTTTCATTTTCAGTTTTTGGTTTGGGTTTTTAATTTTTAAACCGCTGAGTTAGTTTGAACTAATATTACCAACAAACAAATCTCAAATAATCGAACATCTAATTTAAAACTGAAAAGATGATAACAATTTTTTTTAAAAAAAATTTGAAATAGTTTATTTTGTAAATAAACAAAGCAAACAAATATAACATGTGTTTTCAGCTTTTGGTTTTGGATTTTAGTTTTTAGATTTGGTTTTTGGTTTTGCTTTACAGTTTTTTAATCAGTAAATTATTTAAGAAAAATAAAACAATAATTATTTAAAAGTTACCATTGAAATTTATCAAAACAAATTGATTGTTATTTAAAATAAAAATATATATTAACATGTTTTAAAGTACATGATTTAAATAAATGATTAATAATAGATAATTTTGTTTTGTTAAAAATATTAAATACCTTTTGGGTCTGAAAGTAATAATTGATTTTTTGATCTTTTAAGGTAAAAAGTTTATTCAATGTTTTTGGAGTTTTTTCTTAATACTAAGCTAAAAAACCAAACTATATAATTGGTTCAAAAAAATAAAAGTAAGCCCAAGACTATATTACATAAATAACCAGTGGTTTAATTTAAGTATAATTAGTAGATTTCCATATTCCATATTTTGATGATATATATTCTTTTAGAACATTCCATATTTGTAGGAGAAAATATGTGTTTTTGGTATATACATAGATATCTTCCGTATTTGAAGGTAGTTTACATTAAGGTCGTTTCTTTACATTAATTTGTTGGTTTAATTTAAGTAATACGGTTCAATCAATTATATGATTTATATTATTTGTAACATTCTAGAAAGGGTCCAAATTTAAATGACAACTTGTATCAGTAGATAAAAATAATGACTCTATTTTGTATCAGTAGATAAAAATAATGACTCTATTTTAATAGAGTAGATATAGCACATAAGGGTCAAACTGAACAAAATATTTTATTATAGAGATAAATAGACATTTCTACTATTATGGTTAATTAATCTAAATTTAAAGTTTAGGGATGGAGTTTGGAGGAGGGGAGGTGACAGTTAGGATATATATATAAAAAAAATTTAAAATTAAAATAAAATTCTTAAATATGGTTATAAATTTTTCGTATTTCAAAATAAAATTCTGAAAATTGAAAAAGGTTTGAATTGGAAAATACTATTTGAAAATAATATTAGTTATAAAAAATATTTTTATTTTTATCATTTAATTAAATAATTATTTATATTTATATATTTATAAAGGAATGTAGAAGAGTAATTTATCATTTAATGAAACATCTTTTGGTTATCTCTTTATTTGTGTGTTTTTTTGGTGCAAAAAAAAAAACTCATTTTATTGTTCTGATGTTCCTGCTCTGCTGTGTGATTGATTTTACATTCAGCGGATGACTAATCTGAAGAACATGAATATGTATGGTTCTCTGCATTTGAAGGACCTCCCAGATCTTTCACATGCTACAAATCTTGAGAGATTGGATTTGACTAGATGCGAGAGTTTGGTAGCGCTTCCATCCTCTATTGGGAACCTTCACAAACTAGAGAAGTTATTGATGCATAAATGCAAAAGTCTAGAAAGTGTTCCAACAAATATCAACTTGGCGTCTCTTTTGGATGTTGACATGGGTGGATGCTCACGGTTGAGAACCTTCCCAGACATTTCTACTAATATGACGAGTCTCGATATATCAGAGACAGCGGTAGAAGAAGTGCCTGCATCAATTAGTATGTGGTATTATCTTTGGTCTCTTTCTATAAGAGGCACTGGAAATCTCAAGACCATAACACAGTTCCACCAAAGTCTATATTTGCTAGACTTAAGCTATACAGATATTGACAAAATTCCAGAGTGCAACAATGGCCTTGATGGGGTAGAATACCTTTATCTAGCTGGCTGCAGAAGACTCACATCATTGCCAGAGCTCCCTGGTTCGCTCATATCCCTACTGGCAGAAAATTGCGAATCACTGGAGACCGTTTCTTCCCCATTGAACATTCCAAAGGCACACCTCAATTTCACAAACTGCTTCAAATTGGACCAAAAGACACGAGGAGCCATTATGCAACCACGACCGTTTCATTACAAGTTGGCTATCTTACCGGGAAGAGAAATACCTGCAGAGTTTGTTCACCGAGGCCATGAGACCATTGGTCCTTTTCCTGCATCCTCCAGGTGTCAAGCTTGCCTCAGGATTTCGCGTAACAATCACAAACATCCCATAGATGATGTAAATGTTCAGTTCAGCTATAGAATCATAGGCGAAAGCGGATATGCCATTACTATAAGCAACGGCGTTGAAGCATACCCTGGTGAGTCCACAGGAGTTCAAACGGAACATCTTTGTATATTTCAGTGTGACCTGCCTGAAGACGAATATATCCGTCTTAAATTGGGTAGCGAGATATGGTTTGAATTCATAAACAGCCCATTCGAGAGCTGCGAGATCATTGAATGTGGTGTACGAATCTTGATGGAGGACGAAGAAGAGATGAGCAGTGGCAGGAGTAATAAATGTGGATTAGACCAAGTTTCTGGCAGGCGCGAAGTCTTGGAAGAATCTGACGACGACGACAGTGATCACACTACAGATGGACTATTCAGCTGTGAATTTGTATCCACAATCTTGTTAAACTTTAGCTCTGGACAAGACCATGAAGCATCATTTTCTTTTGCGCAATTACTTAACTTACACAAAAGTATCTAATGAGATTGTCTCTCTTTAGTTATTTTATTACACTTTTCCTTTTTTTTTCACTAAAATCATTCCTCCTAATCTTTACCTTTTGAAACAATTAATAGTAAATGATCTGATTAAACATTCGGTCTGGTTGCTGTTTCTTTATTGTTTAGCTCTTGAAGTTTCTAACTGTCTCCAAATCTAATCCTCTGAAACATTGGGAACAAGCTTGCTTTGATCCAAAGGGAACAAAATAATTAACCATTGGAGTTTTTCATTAGCTCTGTTCCATGGTTCTGTAAGAATGTCCACTTTGATCATTGATTTTTTTTCCATATACTGTCAGTATAGACAGCTTGTGTACATTTTGATCAACAGATCTGATAGTTGAGAGCTTTCCACTGATTCTAACATCGCAGTTGCACATTATCCTCACCCGAATTAGTTGGATCGTTTGTTCAGCACTGGCGCAAGCTTTCCAACTTTTCTCATCGCCCCATGCAACGAGATTCAAGAGAGTAAGACAACCAAACAGTATCGTATCCTACAAGCATATGTAAATCCCACACATACATTTTTGCGGCCATCACATCAGAAACCAAGGAAGCTCTCTGGATGTAACCATATTCAAGAGATTGCATTTAGGTGAATTATCTTGGAGGAGAAGTTAAGGTTCACGCTAAGCCCTATTGTTGTTCTATGTCACAATTGCAAGAGATTTGATTTATCAAATTGATTATTTTAGTTATATTTATCAATACAATTAAAACAGAAGCACTTTTTATCTACTTACAAGTACTCTACCTTAAAACATTACATTTATTTAATTTTGTGTTATGTTACGTATAACAAACTTAGTTATTATTAAATACCAACATAATATTAAGATAATATTTAAATATATTAAAAATAAGATATCAAAAAAATACTCTTAACTATTTTTTTCAAATTACATTTTAACAATATTTTTATATATTTTTATTTTAAAAATAAATATTTATTGTTTTAATATTATTTTAATAATAAAAACGTAAATAATATTAAATTAAATTATAACTGAGTATTAACTCATTTTGATTTAGAGAATAAGAACTAACTTTCTATAACATTTATATATAAATATTTCATATTTGTAACTAAAAATTACACAAAATAATAATTATAATATAAATTAATCCACTTTATAAATTATAAACTAGATGAATTACATTTACAAAATAACAAAATACTACCATAAGATATTAAAAAATGAAATAATTTATATTTTACTATACATATCTAAATTAAAACATTAGGATATAAAAAATTAAGATTTAATAATATGTAACTGATACACAAGATAATAATAAAAAAAATTTTCAAACCTCCGCCAATATATAATAATATAATTATCATAGATAAAGTCTTAAAATCGTTTATATATAGTTTATATATATATAAATTTTTTTAGAAAAGAAATATTAGTAATAGCTACTATTAATATTTAATTATATGATGAAACATGTTATTACTGATATTTTTATGATTATATTTTTACGGGTTATTCTAATAAACACACAAAATATTTATTAAATATAAAATAAATATAACAAAATATAAAACATAATATAAGTTATGCTTGGGAATTCAAGTACCTATTGGGATACGTGTTGAATTTTTTGAATCAAAGCTAATTTATATCACATCCTAGGTGTCATAATATGTAAGTAGACATGTTTGTAAGTATGGATCAGATTCAAATATAACACGTCGGGTTTGGTTCTAATTTGTACACATCCTAAAACCGATAAAGTAACCATATATCATTCGGATTCGGGTTATATTGGTTTGGCAATCTAAAATCTAAAACCAAAACAAAAGAACGATACTTATTTTTATAGAATTGGATATTAAAGTACTTAGTTAAAATTTAGATAATTAATTTTAAATATCATTTTAAAATAAATATAGAACTGAATATCTAGACTAGATATTTATGTTTCAAATATTTATGTTTATGATTAATTTGGACATTCAGATCGACTCAGATTTTTTTCAGATATTTTGGTTTTTGGGTTATTCGTTCGGGTCTCGCTAATAACACTTTGATTTGGATATATTTTGTACCATCCTACAAAACTCATTATGATATATTTTGGATTTCTGACCATTTACGGATCCAATTTTTTTTGTTTAGATTGAGTTTAGACATCGAGTTATGGATTTTATGCACATGTCTACTTTATATAAAACAAAAATGCGGTCATATAAAATTGGGAAATTGCCAGAAATAACACTTTCAAGATACCACTTTTCAACTTTACACTAACCAACTTTACCACTAAAATTTTAATACTCAAAATACTATTAGAATTTAGGGTTTAGGGTTTTGGGTTTAGGATTGATAGTTTAGGGTTTAGTGTTGATTTTTTAGGGTTTAGGGTTTACTTTTTAGGGTTTAAGGTTTAGAATTTATATTTTAGGGTTTAGGGTTGATTTTTAGGGTTTAGGGTTTACTTTTTAGGGTCTAGAGCTTAGAATTGATGTTTTAGGGTTTAGGGTTAATATTTTATTTAATATTTATTTTATGTATATATATAAAGAATAATGATATAAGAGATTTTTATCCTTTAATAAAACGTGTATTTTTGAAAATGTTCCTTTGTTGATGGTAAATATGAAAAGTGGTACCACCAAAGTGGTATAATTGAAATTCTCCCTATAAAATTTTCAGGGAAAGATTATTCTGCATTTTTAAAAAGACTATGTTTGATGAAATTAAAGAACTAAACAAGTTTATCCCATGTTTCTACATGTATAAGCAGTGCGATTATATAAAGTTTGCATCAAACATAAACCCGCGCTTTGAAAGCGCGAGTCAAAATCTAGTCAATACTATTAAAACATAAGCACTTTTTATCTACTTGCAAGTAGTCTACTTCAAAATCTTATATTTATTTAACTTTATGTTATGTTACATACAAGAAACTTAATTAGTTATTATTAAATAAACACATAATAATAATATAATATTTAAATATATTCAAAATAAGATATAAAAAGATACTCTTAACTACTTTTCAGATTACATTTTAACAATATCTTTAATACATTTTATTTAAAAAATAAATATTTATTCTTTTAATATTATTTTGATGATAAAAAACGTAAAATAATCACAAATGATATTAACCATTTTGATTAATATAATAAGAGATAACCTTCTATAAAATTTACATATAAATATTTCATATTTGTAACTAATAATTAAACAAAATAATAATTATAATATAAATTAATCTACTTTATAAATTATAAACTAAATGAATTACATTTACAAAATAACAAAATACTACCATAAGATATTTAAAAAGAAATAATTTTATATTTTAATATACATATCTAAATTAAAACATTAGAATATAAATAATAATATTTAATTATATGTAATTGATACACGAATAATAATAAACAAATTCTTCAAACCTCCGCCAATACATAATAATATAATTATCATAGATAAAGACTTAAAATTATATATATATATATATATAAAAAAAAAAATTTATAAAATAAATATTAATAATAGCTACTATTAATATTTAATTATATGATGAAACATGTTATACTCGTATTTTTATGATTATAATTTTATGGGTTATTCCAATAAACAGATAAAATATATATCAAATATAAAATTAATTTAACAATATATAAAACATAATTTAAGTTATGTTTGGGAGTTCAAGTACCTATTGGGATACGGGTCGAATATTTTGAATCAAAGGTAATTTATATCACATCATATGTGTCATAATTTGTAAGTAGGCATGTTGTAAGTATGGATCAGATTCAAATATAACACGCCGGGTTTGGTTTCAATTTGTACACATCCTAACCATATATCGTTCGGATTTGTGTTATATTAGTTTGGAAATATAAAATCTAAAACCAAAACAAATATAGAACTCAATATTTAAACTAGAATTGGATATTAAAGTACTTATTCAAAATTTAGATAATTAATTTTGAATACTATTTTAAAATAAATATAGAACTCAATATTTAAACTAGATATTTATGTTTCATAATATTTATATTTATGATTAACTTGGACATTCAGATCGATTCAGATTTTTCCAGATTTTTTGGGTTATTCGTTCGGGTCTGGCTAATAACACTTTAATTCGAATATATTTTGTACGATCCTACAAAACTTATTCTGATATATTTTAGATTTTTTACCGGTTACGGATCCAAATTATTTTGTTGAGATTGAGTTTGGACGTCGAGTTATGGATTTTATGCACATGTCTACTTTATATAAAACAAAAATGCGGTCATATAAAATTTTCACCGAAAGATTATATTGCATTTTAGCAAATACTATGTTTGATGAAATTAATGAACTAAACAAGTCTATCCCATATTCTACATGTATAGGAAATGGAATTATATAAAGTTTCCATCAAACATAAACCCGCGTTTTGAAAACACGGATCAAATATCTAATCAATATTATTAATTCTGGATTATACACTATTGATAAAAGTTGAGTCCAACTATTTATTATTACTATAATTATTTTTACCAATTAACTTATACTTTCGTTCCTAATTTTTAGGAATCCACTTCTCTTTAAGACATTACTTATTCAACAGTTATGATTATTAAATATCATTCTGTCATTTTGGTTTATATCTACGAAGGATTAACATATGTCTTCTATCTAATATATATAATCTATATTATAATAGTTGAGTTTCAAGACTCCTCAATGTGCCACATCAGCATTAGGTGGGTCCCACTTTAAAAAATGTGAAAAATATCAAACATATGATTCGAACTCGGGTTATTAAGAAACAAACACTAACATTCATACCACTAAACTACAAGATAACTTATATACTGATGGCCGAAACTAATTTATATTTAGCCGGAAGCCTTTGCATCTATGGCCTCCTTTAAAGTTCGGGCCTGGAAGTATATTATGAGTTTCATTTTTAATTGGGCTTCATCATATTATATGAAGAAAATCCTCAAGTTTACAACAGTTATTGTCTTCCCATATTGTAAACCGTTAATGTTTAAAATGAGTTAAGATTCCTTTCACCATCGTCTCATACAGGTCTGAGTTACAGAGCTGTGTCGTGTATCTGTTCGTAA